AAGAAGTCTCTTCTGCTCACCAAGCCTGCATTTATTTGATCCAAAGTACAACAAAGCAGTAATGTTGTGAAATATTTTTACTATTTAAAATAACTGCTTTCATTTATTTCATTTACATTTTTAAATGATTGCTGTGATCAAAGCTGGATTTTCAGCATCATTACTCCAGTCTTCAGTGTCGCATGCTTCAGAAATCATTCTAATATGCTGATTTGCTGCTCAAGAAACCTTTTTATTATTATTATTATTATTAATAATGTTTTTTGAGCAGCAAATCAGAATATCAGAATGATTTCTGAAGGATAGTGTGACTGGTAATGATGCAAAATTTTTTGCTTTGAAATCACTATAAATTACATTTTAAAATATATTCAAATAGAAAACCGTTATTTGAAATAGCCTAGTAAAAATATTTCAAAATGTTACTGTTTTGCTGTAGAGCGCCCTCCGGCTACGAGTATGTATGAAACATACACTGCACGGAATGTTTAGCGCTCCGTGATGTTCATCTCGCCTTATTCTGGGTCCGAATAAAACATCAGGTCATGTACAGACTATTCTGTCTCTTTGAATTTAAATCTATATTTATTCACACCAGCTCTTGAAAACTTCTATGCGAACACACTTGCCCAAAAAGTCCGGGGGACAAATTTACGTGATATTAAAAGTGAGGGGGACATGTCCCCCGCGTAATCTACGCCCCTGATTTGCACTGTTCTAAACATTAATATTTTATGTGCAACAACAGCATATGCTGTCTCAGTGGCCTTACACATAATTTTAAATCTATTTTTTCAAACTTTATGATTTAAATGGGGATGATTGTACTGAGAATAACTTTCATCTTTTCTTCAACTGAATACTGTTTCCGTGATGTTTTGATGTATTTTAAAGAGTTGGCAGTCAAAATTAAATTGCTGAATGATGGATACTCTTCATTCTTTATGACAAATAAGATAATATCAATTACAGAATGTACAACGTTTTTAAAATGTATAAATTGCGGTGTACAGTGTTTATTATGAGGGGGTAGAATTCTTGAGAATTACTCGAGTAGTTTTTTGGACAAGTAGTTTTACTCTACTCGCACTACTTTTTTTGGAAGGTAATGGTACTTTTACTTGAGTATATTTTTTCATTACTCTTTCCACCACTGGTTACGGCAGAGAAATGTATTAACACTGGCGGATGGGATATCAGAACATGACGGAGTGTCTCTTCACCTCCTTGTTTTGAGGATTAAAACTGAGAGAATGCCACCGCTGTGTTCTCGGGCCACGAGCCAAAAGGGTCTAACAATGTGTCCCTGCTAGTCCCCCAACAAAGTACCCAGTGTCCCCAGCAGCAGCACAAGCACTGTGCCAATAATTGAAATAAATGGCTCAGTTATTCTTTAAAATCTGTGGTTAATTGTTGGAGCTTGACTGTGTTACCCAGGGAACAGCAGAGAGCTGAGAACCAGCCAACCTATCACCCAAAGGATGTGCTCTGCTCTCTGGAACTATCACAGGGAGACCCCGTCCAGATGAATGCGCAGTTAGATATGAAGATGAATGGGAAGGGTTGAGAAATATACTTTCATGCATTGTAGTTTGTGTGCTCACATCAGTGTTGCTATCATTAACTTAAATGAAATTAAACAAAATGACTGAAAATGAGAAAAGTTACCATGGCAGATAACTAAAATAAGTTTAGGTTGAAGTACTAGCACAAAAAATTAAAATAACTTAAAACTGAAATTAAAATAAAGCTAAATAGAAATGAGTGGAAAGAATATAAATGACAAAAGCACATAACAACAGTAAACTGAAATTAAAATGACAACTGAAAATATAAAATAAAAGCTAATTCAATTTGTATATAATAAGTACTATAATAGTATATAAATAATAGTAAAATAACAGTAGAATGTATATTCGGCCTCTGTAAATGTTATTCTGATCCGGCTCTAAATTCTGTTAAATTCTACCCAAAGTTTTGGTGACTGTGTAATACTTTCCTGAATTACATTAGTCATGTATCAAACACAAAGCACAATGGCATCTATTTCTTCATTCAGTTTTGTAGTTTTGACTTATTCAGTGCCTAAGCCTTCAAAACGTTTCTATTAATGTGTTTAGAGATTGCCAAAATGCATTTTGTGCTGTTTACTGTAATATTTATTTTGTTAGTTCCTCTTTATTCAGGATTAACAGAGCTGAACAAGATGATGTCTGATGCCAGTGACATGTTGGCAGCAGCCTTGGAGCAAATGGATGGTATTATAGCAGGTAAAATTGTTACCTATGACTCATGTAGCCTTTTCAACATTTCCGTTAACCATCCAAAAGTTAATTAAAACCTCTATTCCAAATCCAACGGTCCCTCCACATTTAAACCTGACAAAATAATTCACTTCACATTGGTAAATATGTTCATTCTGTCCACATTGGAAATGTTCTGCAGTTGTACAAAGAAAATGTCACAGACTCATTTCATGAAACCTACTAAGGTTTAGGTAGAGTAAGATTGGACCGATATTATCACGCTGACCAAATGGTCTGGCATATGAAGTAATTTATCACTGGCTTATTATTACAAAGCTGACATTTCAAGTTGGAGTCGCCTGTCAGATCACATGATTTCCTGAGGTTTTAGCAATTAAAGCATTTACTCTGCCCTGGTTCTGACTTTAGAACCTCGCCCACAGCATGCTTTATTATAAGGTCATACTATCTTTTATTCCACACTACATGATAATTGTGTTTTTTATAATGATTACTCAATTCAGAAATGCCATACATTGTGCTAAATCTGAACTATTGTAAAATATTTTCTTATTCTTGTATTGCTTAACTCTCATGAGCATTTAATGTATAGCTCTACACATTTTCTTGCGCATAATATTGTCTGAATAAAACGTGATCAACTCCCTATCACTGCTTTTATTTATCTTTGTCTTTGGCACTCAGGCTCCAAAGCTCTGGACTACTCCAATGGCATCTTTGATTGTCAGTCCCCAACATCACCCTTCATGGGCAGCTTGCGAGCCCTCAACTTACTGGAGGACCTCAGGGGCATTCTGGAGCTCATGGACACTGAGGAAAGAGAGAGCTTGCGTTGTCAGATCCCAGACTCTACTGCAGACAGTCTGGTGGAGTGGCTGCATGGTCACCTGGTACGTACACCACATTCCAGAACCCTGGAATTCACAATGTCTACTCTAGATGTGAACATGAGCTAACATACTATGTGTTGCCATGTTGTAAGGTAGTACATGGTTATTTATACTTCCTTTATTTATAGGAAGTCTATTTTCCCGTTAGCCCGTAGTCTATTTTCAGTGACAGTCAAAAGTATGTTATGTGTTGGTTTGTGCCTGTTGGAAGTATTTTTGGTTTAATGCTTTATATAAAATTGCTAGGCCTATGCTCATGATTTTCATTCTGACATAATAAGGGTTATAAATAATTGAGTTATTACTGCATCATGTGCAGTAGTTCTATTCATAATCAAGACTGCAGTGCAGTTTAGTTTTATTATTGCCTCAAGATATTAGTTACAGCAGATCCAAGAAACATTATTCTTGTGTGTCTTGAGACAAATCGAACAACTGCCAAGGGAAAGACAACACACGGTACCATATTTAGTCAGTGTATGTGGATTATTATTAGGAATGCACCGATACCGATACTGGTTTCGGTATTGGTATCGGGCCGATACTGAGCGTCTGTACTCATTAAAATGCCCCGATACCAGTGCCGATACCACACAACATGTGATAAGTGCTATATTCAGACAAAGAAACACTGACAACAGAACAACAGACAGCAGAATGGAGTTATTAGAGATTAAGGATGTATACGAAGTATATGTATGCAATGAATATAATGTTAAACATTCAGTATTAACGCCCGTATAGCTGATGTGTGCGAGCTGATAAGCAAACCACGCTGATTGGATTGAGCGTGCGGCAGCGCAGATGCGCGAGTTTGTTGTGTGATCTTTGATGTTCACTCACTAAGCACACGCGTCATTTGGATTAATACTAAATCGTAAAAATAAGACCATTTATAGGGGCATTCACTATAAACATAATTTATTTTCAATCTTAGGCATACAGGACTTTCAGGCGAACGTGAATCTAGCCTGTGTGAAATGCTAGGCTGTACTTGTCCCTCTCATTCTGCACCAGTACAGATATGTGCACGCATTGCGCGTTTTGCTTGCTTGAGTGTTTCTGCATTATATGAGTGGCTTTGGAATATAAATCGCAGCACGTTTCAGATGAAAAAACGCGACTTCTATTTCTGAAAATATCACAGTTAGGAGATTTATAACGAGTGGTTCCTTGTATTATTACAGCAAAGCGCATGATTACAGCACTAAGCCGCTGCAATGGAGCAGCTCTAATGCTATTAAATTAAAGATGATGAGATATCATTTTTGATATTTTTTTTTAGTGGGTGCAGGACACTATAGTTCATTTATGTAAGTGAGGACAGCAAAATAAAGTAAACTGTGATAAAGTATACCCAAAATTCTTCATACGGTGGACTACCAGTAAAACTGATAAAAAATTTGGGACCAAAAATTGTTTGGGGAAAAAAAAATTTAAGTTCAGGTTTGCATGAAGCTGGATGACAGCATGCCCAGGAGACTACAGGCTGTCATTAAGGCTAAGGGTTGCCCGACTAAGTATTGATAGTTGTGTAAATACTGTCATACTAACAGCTGTCTGAATAATTTTTGGTTGATTGTAATCCATTATATACCTTTCTATCAAAGTTATCTAACATTATCAAGCTGAATTTGTTCTGACACCATTTAACTCTGAGTTCTTGTCATATTTTATTACCATTTTCTAAACTATAGCAAATAAACTGTGATAATGTGAGAAATGTTGAAGGTGTCTGAATAAATTTTGGTTTGACTGTATCTATAAAATTTACAAATGCAATAAAAATATTGGTATCGGTACTCGGTATCGGCAAGTACCAAAAATAAAAGTATCGTATCGGGCGAGTACTGGAAAAAGTGGTATCGGTGCATCCCTAATTATTATGTTCGTTCACTGAATGTTAACATTTTGTTGGCATAATAAATGGTTCATGAAAACCCTGAATCTCAAGTGAACCTGTTTTTCTCAGTATTACTTGCTTTTAAAAGCATAAAATTAACTGTTTTCACCACATGTGGTGGATTCCAGAAGTCTTTTATAATAAAAAAAGATTTTTCTATATCTTTTTCGGACAGTCAAATGGACATATTTCAATCACCGGTGATGTTTACCAGGACAGACTTAATCGTCTTGAAAGTGATAAAGAGTCCCTTGTGCTTCAGGTAACTTTGTATATACTCTACATGCACATACAAGGTCGGCAAGATTTTTTTATATTTTTGAGGTGAGCTTGTGCTCACCAAGGCTGCATTTATTCGGTCATAAATACAGTAATATTGTAAAATATTATTACAATTTAAAATAACTGTCTTCTTTTTAAATATATTTTAAAATGTAATTTATTCCTATGATGACAGCTGAATTTTCAGCAGCACTTGTCTTCAGTGTCACACGATCCTTTAAAAATCATTCTAATATACTGATTTGCTGCTCTAGAAACATTTCTTATTATTATCAATGTTTAAAACTTCTTAATATTTTTGTAGAAACCCTGATACATTTTTTTCAGGAATCTGTGGTAAATAGAAAGTTCAAAAGAACAGCATTTATTTTTAATATTACTTATTTTAAAAACATTATAAATGTGTTTGCCGTCACATTCAATCAATTTAATGCATCCTTGCTGAATAAAATACATTTTTTAATAAAATAAAATCATCATTCTTTGCAGGTGAGTGTTTTGACGGATCAAGTGGAGGCGCAGGGTGAAAAGATAAGGGACCTAGACCTGTGCCTTGATGAACACCGTGAGAAACTAAATGCAACTGAAGAAATGTTGCAGCAGGTGGGTTTAAAGATATTTCTTGTATATTGGAGACATGGTCTGGCAGTTGGGTCAAGTGCATTCTGCACAGTAGAGCTTATTTTAAGCCCATAGTTTCCTATCACGTCTTCACTAAAAGCCCATAAAATGTATTCAGAAGACAGATTTTTTTGTTCATGCTCCATTTGTGAACTCTTCTTCCTAGGAACTCTTGTGCAGATCAGCCCTTGAGACTCAGAAGCTGGAGCTTATGGCAGAGGTTTCCAACTTGAAGCTGAAGTTAACAGCCATGGCGAAAGAGAGACTCGATTTTGACGACAGATTTGGAGATAGTGAGGTAAGAAACATGCACACATTCATGAGGGAAATAATTGTGTAATGATGTCTGCTTTAATTGTAATGCTAGTCAATGGTTAATTTGTGATTCTGCCATTGGTGCACAGAGCTCTTTTGTTTTGACCGCTTTAACATATTGCAGTTTGCTGGAAAATGACTTGAATGTTTGTTTAGAATCGTGATTCTGCAGTATAGCCAACCTTTTGTTTCTGTACAAGCCTGAAGTAGAAAGACTTGCATTCAACAATGCAATCTGTTGTGGTCTTGTTGTGGTACAGAGGTCTGTTCCAGTGCACTGGAATGTTGGGCTTTTAGCTATTCTCTGCTTTGTTTGCTGTCTGGGCAAAATGGTAAATGAAAAAACAGCCTTTACCAGATACCATTTCCTCTCCAAAAATTGGTTTAGGTGGCCTCTTTTCTCTCTAGAAAGTAGTCATTACCACTAAGGACTATGCCCTATTGTGGATGAATGGGAGTAGGAAGGGTCCACAGCTAGAGGGTGTTGGGATCCATTGGAATGGTTTTCCACATCGATGGTTTCAACTATTTCAGATAAACTAGCCCTAAACCATGTTTGGCCACTAACATATAGTTTACAAATACACTTCCTGTCAAAGTGGGTGTTTCTTGGCCCAAATGAACTGCAAACTGGAACGTTTTTTTATGTTGTTTGTTAAAGTCTAGCAACTTGAGACTAGATGTTAATCAGACTATTATCTTATGAACTCCAGACAAGCTTGTCTCAGTCCTTGTCCATAACATGTTTTATTTAGGCTTGGTAAATGCTGTTATCACTTTACTTTTGAGTCAGACAACATCCAAAAATGGAGAAAAGCAAGAGGATGATTTCAGATTAGGGTCATGGAGATGAACCAGTCTCTGCACCGGTGTGTTCACAGTCGGCCACAGAAAACAGGTTTTGTCTCCTTGTTGATGACAAACGTTCCATTTCAGGCCTTTCTTTGGGATTTGTGTTTTTCATTCTTCTTAGAGTATTATAGAACATATATACAAACTATTTATTGTTTAAACTGCACTGGCAAGTGTGTTTGGTCTAGGTTGGTCAACACATTCTTCAAAGATATAAATTATTTCTGCTGTTTCCTGTTATTTTGCTGCCACATAATTTACCGTCTCAGCAAAACTCCAGTTTGTTTCCCAAAATGTTGTCTTTTTATCCTGTTAAGACTAAGACTATAAGATGTCATTTTAGATTTTGAACTACTGTAGCCTGAAATACTTAATGTACACTACTGTTCAAAAGTTTGTGGCTGGTAAGATTTTAAATACGTTTTTTAAAAAGAAGGCTCTTTTGTTCACCAAGCTTGCGTTTAATTGATCAAAAATAAGATAAAACCATATTTTTGTTAAATATTATTGCAATTTAAAATGTTTTCTGTTTATATATATATATATATATACACACACAAATATAGGCCTATATAAATATATTTTAAAATGTAATTCATTCCTTTGATGCAAAGCTAAATTTTCTGCAGTCATTACTCCAGTCTTCAGTGTCACGTGATCCTTCAGAAATCATTATAATATGTTAATTTGGTACTCAAGAAATATTTCTTATTATTGTTATTATAACATTTCTTATCATCACAGTTGAAAACCGCTGTACAGTTGTACTGATCCAAAACATTTGAACTGTAGTGTATTCTGATTTGTCTTTTGAGTTTTCCTAGTGTTTACAACTAGAGGCTGTTCTGTTGTTTGAATCATAAATCCACGGCTGAATGCTAGACATCCTTACAAAGAGCTTGGCCCTAAAAGGCCTGAGTGCTGAATGGATGCTTGTCACTAAATTCTTGTTTTTTTTTGTTTGCTCATTAAGATTGAATACTGTCTGTTTGTTAAACAAACCATTTCAAATTTGAGAGTAGGCTTCTCTTTGAAGCCCTTTGAAGCTAAAATTTAGGAATATGGCCATGATAATCTGTGAGTGTATAGAAACGAGTTATTAATATTATTAGATTCTGTGCATTAACGACCCTAAGTTTTTAAAATTGTTTTATTTTTATTGTAACTTTTTTTTTTGTGGTAATCGACAGCGTACATATGCATTTGCTAGTTTAACTTTAACCCATTTAACAGTAAATTTCACGTTATTAAATAAATATTAATAATAAAATAATGTTTAGAAAAACAAGTTGTTGCTAAAATGCTTGAGACACTTTGTGAAATTCTATGGAGATTTTTTTGCCTTTTAAAGACATTTTTCCTTTTTAGGGTTTGATTTTGGAGATTAATGAACTGAGATATCGCATTTCTGAGTTGGAGAATGAACGGTTACAGTATGAAAAGAAATTGAAATCCACTAAGGTGAGTTTCAACGCTAGTTTCTTACTAGTGAAAACGACAATTGAGGTTACTATCTTTAAGCTTGCATAGGGATTCTCTTCTTCTTTTGTCTCTCTTGCATAACCTGTCATCTTTCTTGTTATCTTTAAGTGTTTATTTCCCTTTTCCTCTTTGGCTAACCTCTCTGCTGCTAGTCGCTTATGGCCAAACTCTCTAGCCTGAAACTCAAAATGGGCCAGATGCAGTATGAGAAACGGAGGAAGGAACAAAAAATCCAGGCGCTCAAGGTCGGCATACCTCAGGGTGGTTACTGCTTCTGGTTGTAATCCAGAGATTTTTTTAATTTGGTAATTTTTGCACTCTAACTTTGCTTTTTGGCACTTTTAATGAAGACTTTAGTTTAAAGTTTAAACATTTCACACATACAGTGGTCATATTTGTGACCCTGGACCACAAAACCAGTCTTAAGTCGCTTGGGTATATTTTTAGCAATAGCCAAAAAAACATTGTATGGGTCAAAATTATCGATTTTTCTTTTATACCAAAAATCATTGGGATATTAAGTAAAGATCATGTTCCATGAAGATATTTTGTAAATTTCCTACTGTAAATATATCAAAACTTAATTTTTGATTAGCAATATGCATTGCTAAGATCATCATTTGGACAATTTTAAAGGCGATTTTCTCAGTATTTAGATTTTTTTGCACCCTCAGATTCCAGATTTTCAAATATTGTCCTATCCTAATAAACCATACATCAATGGAAAGCTTGTTTATTCAGCTTTCATAAGATGTATAAATCTCAATTTTGAAAATTTGACCCTTATGACTGGTTTTGTGGTCCAGGGTCACATTTAATATTTCATTAGCAATGCAGTGACATTCAGTGTTGATTTAGAGTCCAAATACATTCTGAGGCCACTGTTAATGAGCCTATTATCTCATGTCATTCACTACAGTATCAAACTTTTAACAGTCTCAGCTTGACTGAGAGCTCTATAGCCCTCCATTTTGCACAATGTTGTACAGACAAAGTTCTCATCATGATTTGAAAGCTGCTCAATAAATCTGCCCTCCTCTCCAAGCAGTGGCACCAGTATAAGATCTCAGAATGTTTAATTAACCACAAGTATGTTTCAGTGTGAGGCTCTACGAGATATTTAAGCTGAGAGGGCTAAATTTCAGACTGCTTTATAATGCAGGAGAAGCTATTTCTGTTACTGCTTCTTACTGTAGCATACTGTTAAGCCACAAGCTTTGAAAAGCTCAGTGTGAGGTTTGCATGATTGTGTTACTGTAGTTTATTTTTTATTTTTTTGGTGTTATAAACTTCTCTACCACCCTGACAATGCATTGAACTCTTGAATTAAGTTCTTGAATGTGATCTTGATTAGTGGTAGACACTAATATAATTGATTAATTGAATATTAATACTATGTGTGAGATAATCCAATAAATTTGTATGATTGGACAATTAACAAAAACATAAGTGTCAGATACAGTATCTACAACATCATGTCAAACTTGAATTTTGCAAGTGCCATGTACTGAACTCTCTGATAGTAATTAGTAACTGCATGGTTTGGTATTACTGGGTGTTTAACCTGTTAACTTCAGTGGTTGTCCAGACTTTGGATCAGAGTTGTGAGATGTGTGTGTTTAATGTTCAGGAGGAGCTGGTTACGTTGAGAAGGCAGCTGGATGGCAGAGATGGTGATCTGAGGATGCTGCAGGATGAGACGGGGTCCAGATCCCCAACACCTGCAGGCCTAGACAGCACAGAGAGAGGTGGGTCACGCATAGTTGCTGTTATTCACAGTATTGCCTGTTCCAGCATGCCCTACAGGGGTCTAGTTTTGTCTTGTCATCATGCTGTGTCTGTGATGCTGTACTGACTAATTAAAAATAAAATCTGGAGTAGATCAAGCTCAATCAGTTGTTATTGTATGAATTAATTTGTGCAATTTTTCATATTGCTTGTGTTTATTTTTGTTATTTGCTTTGATTTGCTTTTGATGTTTGTTTTGATTCTCTTTGTTTTTAGCTAGTTTTTTGGTCTTTGCTTTGTTTGATATATTTAAGCTTTGTTTTTGTTTGTTTTTTGTTGTTTTTTGCTTTGTTTGTTTATTTTGATATTATGTTTTAGTATTAAATTTGTTTGTTTTTAGCCTTTTTTATTGTTTGTTTCGATTCGATTTTTTTTACATTGTTTTCTCGTTATTTCGATTTTGTTTATTTTGATTTTGCTTTTTATTTATGTTAGTTTTTTTATTTTATTGATTTTAATTTTTTACCGTTGTTTTACCTTGTTGTTTATTTTTATTTGGTTTTATTTTATATATGTAGTGTGTGTGTGTGTGTGTGTGTGTGTGTGTGTATATATATGTATATATATATATATATATATATATATATATAATATTTATATTTTATTCAGTTTTATTTCAGATTTATTTAAAAAAACATTTTTAATAGTTTGTGAACAGTAACAATACCTGTAATACAAAATAAATCTGAAAGAGAAGACGTTGTTCAGATGGCTACATCGGTATGTACAACTTTCACAACGTCTTCTCTTTCTATATTTCAATCTATGCTTACAGATCTATATTTTTACCCGAACAGGTGATGATGACTAAAAACGGTTTCTTTTTTTATATTAATGTACTTGTTTTTTAATGCCCTTATTGGTAATTGTATGTACAATACAGCACTTTGGTCAACCCATGGTTGTTTTTAAATATGCTTTATAAATACAACAAACAAACAAAAATCCCTAATAAAAAGGCTTAATAAAAAGGATATATTGTATTATATTATATTAAATATGATATTTTTATGCTGGAAAGGTGGACCTCCAGGGGTCTGCATTTAGAAAAATACTGGTGTAGAGAATACACTGGTGTGAATTTACCTTTGCATGTTCTCTTCTTCTGTAGGCGACAACATTTGTCAGTACACTCCAAGTGCCATCGCTCACAGTACATATAACATCCCCAGATAAAGCAGACAACCATTCAGGCCTGGAACACATGCAGTCATCAAGGTACACTTCAGTACATTAAAACACACCTTTTTGTCTGCTGAGTTGTTTTTTCACGCAGGATCATCATCTGATAAAATCTGGACAAGCAAACATTCTTTTAAATCATATCTGTGGCTGTAGGTTTATGTCCCAAAGCATCCCACCTATGTTACAGCATCCAAGCATCCCATCCTCAGCGTTAGCACCTCTAAAGGCTTTTCCTTTCTTGTACTTTGTTAGTATCCTCTTTTAATCCTTTCTAGTCTTTGAAATGCCTATTGTCTATATCAGAGTTCATGACCACCTCACACTATTCATACTATCCCATCATTCTATGGTGTTTAAAGTGTCATTTTCTCACCGTTAACACATCAATGCATGTCCGTCTATACACCCCACTACTTACCCATCATGCTTTGCCACCACCTCTGCATCCCAATGCTTGTGTGTTTGTCCTTTGTAGTGAGAAAGAGTGTCAGGAGCCAACTCAATCACTGGAGACCCCGTTAGATGAGAGTCCCGAGTGAGTATGTGTGTCAGGTGGAGTTCAGTTACAAAAATGGCACATTTTGATATGCCAGTTTTGTTTTTTTTTGGTAACCTGAAATGCCACTCTTGTGACTCAAAGTGTGAGTCAGACACCTTAACAAAGTGGTTTGATACTACATGGTGGTTATGAACATATGCATGTTGGAAAGAGTGATGGTAACAATGTCTTTCATGTTTTAGAACTTCAGAGGTCACAAAATCAGCAAACCAGGGCAACCTTGATGGAAGAGCCAGTGAAAAGGTGAATTTCAACTCGATCAAGACTTGAGTAAAAGTGTATTTATTTTTAAGGTTTTTATTAGGGTTAGGCAATATATTGAATATTTAAAGTGATTTAAAATGAGATTAAATAAAATGTCTGTTGTGCAATTTTTAATTCCAGAAGCCATTAACAGTAGATCAAAGGCCAGCTGAGGTCATTCTTATTTTTTTGTTAGTAATACTCTCTTAAATCATAACTATTATTAACATTATTATTATTAATTGCTGTTGTTGTATTAAATTAGAAGTTATTATAATTATAAATATATATTATAATTTACATTACATTACTGGAATGTTTTTTATATTACATGCATATGGTTATTTGACATTTCTGAAATGTTTTCTTCATGAACTTTTAGAGCAAAGAATTTGATGAGTTCAACAAGATCACAACTCTACCACCCAGATCTCCAAGCTCTTCTCGTACTGCTGAGGATGACAGCTTCGGCACCAGGAAAATGAGATCTTCTTTTGGACGGGGATTCTTCAAGATCAAGGGAGGGAAGAGGACTGCTAGTGCCCCTAATTTGGGTATGACTTCTTTCTTACTTCTAGATCAATATACCCATGGTCAATTACAGTTTCACTGTGATTAAAAAAGCTAAAAAAATGTCCAAACAAAAATTAGTGTTTCAGATTAAAAAGATCATGAGTCAAGAGTGCCCGAATTTAGTACAAATGCTAGGGCTAGACCTGCCATATGGCCTCTCTGAGGAAGGACAGAGAAGAACCTGGATGTGTCTTCATTTCTTTCTTTCCTTCAAGGAAAAATCCCTCACCTTGATGCATTTCCACACATAATCAATTGATTCTCTGACCATGTTGTACTGTTTCTAACAGGCTCTCTGTTTCTGCTCAATGTCAGTATATTAAATAAATTTAAAGTCAAAACACACAGATGCAACAAGTATTTTACTGATTTTGAAAAACCAAATGATTTTGATCTGTAACATTGTAGGAAGGAACACATTTTATTTTATTTTAGCTTCAAGCTTGATTCGGAAAAGGTCTGTCTTTCAGGAAGAAATTTAGGAGCAAAGTTGGTTTATTTTCGTTTATTTTCTTCATAGCAGGAGGTGATATTACATGAAGAAATGGCAATTATGGGTGTTTTCAAGTCCTCTTGTCAAAATAATAGTCTAAATAGATGTGTTTAAACATTGGGCTCATGTGGTAGCCAGCGTGAGTCCTTCGATATAAAGAATATAGATGGTCTGTCGTCATCGCATGTTATTTTGTGACCACATTATTACCTAGCACTCAAATATTCTGACCACGTTCTCACAACTCTGTATGTTCCCCTCACATCCAAACTACCATAAGAATGTACATTCAGGCTGGATTTAGTGCCATTCAGTAACAATAATAATAGATGTTATTACTTCCATTGTGTTAACTTGCATGTGACTTTGTTACATGGTTCCAGTCCTAAAATAAACCAAATCCAGTTGTTCTTCAGTCCAGACGAGAAGTCATCTGCCATCTTGCCTCATGATGCTGATTCCAGTAGTTCAAGGAAGACGCTGTAATTTTTGGGCTTTATTTCTTTTAAACTTCCTGTTATTCATGACATTTTTACTGCTCTGGTCTCCTACTGAACAACCTACTTTTTTTTCTCCCTTCCCATAATCTTTAGTTTATTTGATGCTTGACTGACCATGGTATTATGGGTAACGTAGTTTGCTGTGGTGACAACAGGACATTTTCTTTTCTTGTGTATGTTTTTGTTTGCACAGCTGAGACAGAGAGGGACGGCACTGACCATCTGGATCTGGCAGGCATGCCGCAGAGGTCAGCTGACAGTGACAGCACACACACTCTCCCCATTTCTCCAGAGGGCAAGAAAAAGTCAAAAGGAATCAAAGCTCTATTTGGAAAGTGAGTCTAAAACAGCTGCAGGGTTTTACATTTCAGACACTTGGTGTCTTTCCTTGTCTAGCATATTTTATATCCTGCCAGTGTTATTGTTAACTAAACCTAAAACTATTAAAAATTGGTTTTATTAATTGAAAAAGGCTTAAATAAAACAAATATTAGATTAAAAAAAAAACAAAAAAACTTGAAATGTTGCTTTGGTGATGAACTAAAATACAATAAGTTGAAGTACTAAAATTATTCAATCTGAAATATAAATTAAAGCTGAATAGAAAAACTAACTAAACTAAAAACTAAAACTAACTAAAAAAAATAATGAAAATGACAAAAGCACATACAAAATTATTAAAACTGAAAACAAAATTAAAATGAAAACTATAAAGAATAAAAGCTAATTCAAAATATTAATAAATACTATAATAGTAAAAAAATAACACTGAATGCTGGATATTTAAAGAATAGATTATTGTAATACTTCATTTAATTAAATTATATTATTCTAAAAAATTATAAGTATTATATTTCAAATATTATTATTATTAATGTTCTGATTTACTTCATATAAACTAAGCAACCTTTCTACTCTTTATTTACATGAACGTATTTTAAAAATCACCCTAAATGTTGATTTCTGGCATTTGAAAATTGTCAAATGTTCCTATACATATATTGTGACGAGTCGGCTGCCTCCCCCTAATTTTCAGCATCACCCCGTCCCTTAATCACCGCCCTTCGCCAGGCTCCCGACAGGAGTGGGTGCATGAGAGAGGAGGGTCACTGAAATAGCCAGGGCTGGCGGCGTGTGATGGGGCACACCTGAACCGAATGGAGCCTCATCACCACCGCTGTTTAAATGCCGAGCGCGCCTCTCCTCGGGTAGACCGGTCTCTTCCCCGTGCATGCACGCTGGTGCCCTCGTGGGTCCAGGAAAGGTGCGTAGAGGGACTCTCGCGCCGCCAGAGTCGTGAGCTGCCGGACCCGCGGTCCGGACGAGAACCGCACCCGTTACACGGCCGTCGGCCCAGGATGCCAGGCCGTCTAGTCCCTTCGTGAGCTGTGGGCAACGAGAAGGATGCAGCCGCTGGAAGAAGCCGCCGCCCCTCGTGCCCCGGACCGGAGAGGGGAGCGCGTGTGGCCGCCGGACTCCGCCCCTTACCTGGGCCCTTCCTTCCTGACCACTGCCCTTCCCTTCACGAACCCCGCAGCACGACGAGGACACCAGATCCCCTGTTTATTTTGGACACTTGATTCCCTTTTTCTGGACACTTTGTTTATTTTCTGTTAATAAAAGCCTCTCCGAGGCCTGACCCCACACCCACTGTGTCTGTCGTTTGGTCCTCCCGCTACAATATAAAAATATTATATATAAATATAATATAATATATATATATATATATACACACATGTATGTTTTTTTTTGCTAAATATGGACGCATTTAAAGCATGCAACTGATGACTTTCTCTGACTTTCTCTTTATTCTTTAAAGGCTCAAAAGAAGTCAATCAACCACATTCAACCTGGATGATAACTTATCAGAGAGTGAGTTTAAACGGGGTGGAGTCAGAGCCACAGCTGGGCCCAGGCTGGGTTGGTCACGTGACCTGCAGAACACCAACAGGTCAGCAATCACAGTGACACAGGATAGAGCTCCTTCTCAAAATGGAAGGATCTGCTGTTGGGAAACACACCCTGGTGACAGACTTACATGTAGCTTATTGATTCAGAGTTTCAGTTCCTGATTAAAATCTCATTATGTTGTAATTTTTGTGGTAAATGGTCAATAATATCTCCAAAAATATTTCCAGCAGTCACTGTCTTTGTACCTTCTAAGATCTGCTTGTTTGTGTTTTCCAGTGAGCTGGATGCACCGTTTGCACGCTGGTCCCGGGAGCAGGTGTGTGATTGGATGCAGGAGCAGGGACTGGGGTTGTACGTGAGTTGGGCAAGGCAGTGGGTCGCCTCAGGCCAGACGCTTCTGCAGGCATCCCAGCAGGATCTGGAAAGAGTGAGCTTTTATTACTCACAATCAGGATGAGAGCATATAGTGGAGTCCAAATGTCTGAGACCACGTTTTAGTCTGGTAATAATCAGTTGAATCTGAAATTCATGTTTAAGGACTGTTCTGCCCTCTGTATGCAGGAGCTGGGAATAAAACACCCTCTACACAGGAAGAAACTGCAGCTGGCCCTGCAGGCATTGGGCTCAGAGGAAGATGACAACAAAGGCAAACTAGACTACCACTGGGTGACAAGTAAGGAATGGATGTTTATTCATCCGCAGTATCAGATTTGTTGTTAAATTGTTATAAAACTAAGGCTGAATGTATCAGATTGTTTTTCTTAACCCCATACCTTCTGTTCTAGGGTGGCTTGATGATATTGGCCTCCCGCAGTACAAGACTCAGTTTGACGAGGGACGTGTGGATGGACGGATGCTTCACTATATGACTGTGGTTAGTCTTTTTCCTGGTCAATATCACATTTTGACATATAAATGAAAGTTTTTTTTTTTTCTGTGAATAAAAGGTTAAACTAGTATTTAATGTTTTTGAAAGAAGGCTGCATTTATTTGATAAAAAATACAGAAAAGTAAAAACATTAATATTGTGAAATATTATTACAATTTAAAATACGTGGTTTTTATTTGAATAAATTAAAATGTCATATATTTTTGTGATGGCAAAGCTGAATTTCAGTCATTAGTCCAGTCTTCAGTGTCACATGATTTCTAAACTGCTTAGTTGAAAGTTGTTCATGTCCACTCTCTCCTGTCAATGCTGAACAGGATGACCTATTGTCTCTGAAAGTGGGCAGTGTTCTTCATCACCTCAGTATTAAGAGAGCCATCCAGGTGCTCCGGCTCAACAACTATGACCCCAACTGTCTGCGGCGAAGACCTTCAGATGAGGTAGGAAGAGAGACCAAACTCTAATCTGTGCTGTCCTGTTGGTTTTTGGCTTATACTAGCAATCCTTATGTTCACCATTATTTCAGAACAACATAAGTCCTGCTGAGATCTCTCAATGGACCAACCACCGTGTGATGGAGTGGCTGCGGTCTGCTGACCTGGCTGAATACGCACCCAACTTGAGGGGCAGTGGAGTACATGGAGGACTGATGGTGAGAAATTACTTTGTACTAGTTTAGGTTATTGGTTGTAATGGTTAAAAATTTGCACTGGAATCCGAAAAGTTGTAGGTTAAAAATTGAAAGGGTTGATCCATGAACACTGTACCCCCTTAAGGCCCCGATATACTCACAGTGAAGTTATTTTTCATCCTTTGTGCCCATGTTGCTGAAAGTGGCATTTAGATGAATATGTAAATATGTTCTGCACGCTTTCCTCTCAGTAATAAAATAAACACAAAAAAAATTACAGCGGTGAGAAAACGGCAATTAAAAAAGCATCCGATCATAGTGATGTGGATGTGTTTGTTCCAGCTCTACATTTTGGTATTTCAAGTCGTTATTTTTATTTATAATATGGAAATAAATACATGTGGGAATAAATAAATGAATGCATATATAAATAAATATGAAAAAAATAAATAAAAATAAGTCTTAAAAAGAATAAAAATAGTAAAAATAAATAAATAATAATTTAAAGAAAAAGTATTATAAAAAGACTACATTTAATTTAAAATAACTTATTCCTTAGCAGGTTTGGTCCTCCGTAGCTTTACAGTAATAAACATGAAAAAACACGTCAATTTCTACTATAAAGCAGCTTTGCAGTGTGTTCATGTTTATACTTGTGGAGCCTCAGAACACACCTACCTATTAAGTAATCACCACAGACCAATGGTAGGTTGGCCAGACTGATCTTCTCCGGAAAGTTTGCTTTTGTCAAGCTGTTTTGGTCTGATTTTGTTCATGATGATGTCACACCAGTTCATTCTTTGATTCACTTGAAGCCATCCTGTAGCTCAAACAGTAGAGCAGGATGCTAGCAAGGTCATAGGTTTGATTCCCAGGGAAAGCAAGAAGTGATTAAATGTGTACCTTGAATGCAATGGAAGTCACTTTGTATACAAGCATCTGTGAAATGCATAAATGTAAATGTAAAGTATACCGGGAACTTTATCATAGCAGTTAACCCCAGGTTGCTAAAGTGAAAATAAAGCTGAGGTAAAAGCATCTGCAAAAGTGCAATTTTTTTTCTTATGGGCATCATTTTGTTCATGGTTTCAGGTGCTGGAACCTCGCTTCAATGTGGAGACAATGGCTCTGCTGCTGAATATTCCCCCCAACAAGACTCTGCTGCGGAGGCATCTGGCTACTCACTTGAACCTGCTGGTGGGTTCTGAGGCCCAGCAACTCAAACAGGAGTGTCTAGAGAACCCAGACTACACCTTGCTCACCGCCACGGCTAAAGTCAAGGTATGATGCAGAACACCTCCAGACCATCTACTGCAAAACTTGCATGTGATTTCATTCATTTTAGAGTTCAAATGCTGACATATCTTTATTTTAAATGCCGTCTGTGTCAAATTTAGCCGCACAAGCTGGCGTTTGGAGGGTTTGGTAGGAAGAAGAAGCAAGAGGACAATGAAGAGTATGTCTGTCCCATGGATGTGGAGATGCCCAAAGGACGCAGCTTCCAGAAAGGCTACAGAGGCATGGAGCTCCAGATCTATGATGATGACCTAGATCGATTCGACCAGGTAGTGATAGAAGCTTTCTGGTGCATGATGGACTATGATGCTTTACTTTGCTACAGTGTGAAAAGCAGTGGCCGCTGGCACTGATCGACCTGGCTGTCTGGTAGTCAGGTTAACCGTTTAACATTTAATACCACAAAAGTCATGTGGCAGATTTGCTGAATAATAATTTAACTACAATATTTTAAATATTTAATATATCTAAATAAATATATAATACTAAATGTAAAAAGATTAATAACATTTAATGCATTTGTTTCATTTTTAAATGATCAATAATTACCAAAATGATTAATATTTACTGATATTTTTTTATATTTAATTTAAAAATAATAGATTTATAAGTGTTTTTGTAAGCAGTCTCTTTATGCTCTCAAAATTTGCATTTGATTAAAAATAAAACAGTAAAAGTAGTAATATTGTGAAATATTATTACAATTTAAAAGAATGATTTTCTATTGTAATACATTTTAAAATGTAATTTACTCCTGATGATTTTGATTTCTGAAGGATCATGTGACACTGAAGGACCAGAGTAATGGCAGCTGAAAATTCAGCTCTGCCATCACAGCAATAAATTAAATTGGAAAATGTATTACAATAGGAAATCATTTAAATTGTAATAATATTTTGCAATATTACTGTATTTTTGATAATAAATGCAGGCTTGGTGAGCACAAGAAACTTCTTTCAAAAATGTAAAAAAAAATCTCAATTATTCCATATGTTCAGTTGATTATTCAGTAGTCAATAACCTTAAATCAAATCATTAAAAACAATGAATCGATCATTGATTAATCATTAACACCTGTATGACTTTATGTTCCTCTTTGCAATCCCCAGATGGAGGACTCTGAAGGGACAGTAAGGCAGATTGGCGTTTTCTCAGAGGGCATCAACAACTTAACGGTAACAAGCAGCTGCACATCTGATCGAGGTAAGTAAAGGTAAATCAGAAGCATTAAAAATCAGATCAGCATTAAAATATTTTACATAGAGGAGCATAAGTTTTCAGTCTTACTACTTTGTTTTTAAGTATTTTAAACTTTACAAATTCGCACAAAATCTAGAAGAAATGAAGTAAAGGAAGGTTTACATTTGTTTCATTTGCATGTGTGAATAGGATATTTACCCACCCAAACGACCAGACATGAAATTGTTTTCACCAACAAAAAAGGTCTTTAGTGATTTTAAATGGTGATTTACCTCTCAACAGGCTTCATGAAGCTTTTGGACAACTATGAGAGGTCCACTGGTGTGGCAGAGAGGGTGACCGCTGAGGAGATAACCGAAAATGACTCCTTTCTGGATGCTATTTTAGAGACAGCAGTCATGAAGGTATGAATTCACCCTCTAATAACTCAAGTTCTATCCTTTACCACATCGAAATGCATCTCTTTCTCTTGTGGCAATAACAGAGGCAATAACAGTATTTTTTGTTGTAAAGAAAAAAGTTGTAAAGACTATGTGTAAAGATTTAGTGAAAAGATTCTCTAAAAGACAAGTTCAACTTTTTTCCTGTTGCTAACCAAAATATTGTGGTTGTTCCCTGCCACACCCTGTTCTTGGAAGCTGCATATTATGACCAGGGGAAAAGAATGTGGAAGAATGTGTGATGATTCTGCTGTCATTAGATTAGAGCATTAAAGGAATAGTTTACCCAGAAATGAAAATTTGCTGAAAATGGACTCTTAGGCCATTCAACATGTTTCTTCATTGGAACTGATTTGGAAAAATGTTGCATTACATCACTTGCTCACCAATTGATCCTCTGCAGTGAATGGGTGCCGTCAGAATGAGAGTCCAAACAGCTGATAAAAACATCACAATAATCCACAAGTAATCCACATGACTCTTGCGATTGAAAGCTTGCGTTGTAATAATCATATACATTATATACATCTTGGATGGCCTGAGGGCGAGTCGATTTTCAGAAAATTGTCATTTTGGTTGAACTATTCCTTTAAATCTTTTATCTCATAAAAAAATACATGTTTTACTCCCTCAGCGTGCCCACGTGTACCTGATTGGAAAGAGAAAATCACGCTCAGCTCTGAGACGGTTTAAGAGTCAGTTGTACTACATGTGGTTCCGCCTTTATCATAGAGACAGAAACGGCGGGTAAGCCACTTACACCAGTACAACATAAAAAAATGTGTGTATTTTATTCCATATCAGCTCTAAATATTTAAAAAAATATATTGCTTTTTTCCAAAAAGCGAGGACTCCAGTGGATTTGAGCATGTGTTTGTTGGGGAAACCAAGTTTGGCAGAGAAATCTTGGGTCTTCACAACTGGGTCCAGTTTTACCTGCAAGAGAAGCAGGAGATTCTTGATTACAAGGGCTACAAAGCCAGGGACAATGATGTGGTACTTTTTTCATCAATAAATCTGAAGAAAATATATAAGAATTTATTGTTCTATGTGCAGTCTTTGCTGAATCCTGTGTTTTGTGATCAGAGTATGCTGAAGGAGGACGAGTTCTTCAAGGGGATCTCCACGTCGTTCCCCAATGCCAGTGTGAAGGATGATGACTCCAATGTGTGAGGGTACTGCAGGGACACTCTCGCCCCTAGTGCTGCTGCTTTAATATGAAGTGACTGCCAACACCTCCACACACGCACCTCCATCTGAATGCCAAATATATCGAACAGAACCACGTGTCCGCTCATCAAAACACCAATTTAAAGTATTTTAATTGCCTTTTAAGAACATTTTGTTTAATAATTAATGTCTCATAAAGGTAGATGGAAGAATGTCTGCCCTGTGTGTGTGTTAGTGGTCATTTTTGTTTTTTGTGGATCGATGTGATATGATTTATAACTATAATGAGTAGCAGTCCTACTGTAATCTGCTGGTCATTGGATAGATACAGTATGCATTCTTTTTCATCTGCCTGCCTAAATCTGTGACCGATGGTTTGTGCCAGTTATTATGGTGACAAAAGAGCACAAGAACACTTTCAGTCAAAATCAAAGATATATTTGATTAAATTACAATAAATTGTAATTAAATTAGCAATAATCATCAATATTTTTGAATGATCTTTCCAGGTGCAGGCTTAAACATATGATAGGGGTTTTTTTAGTTGTATTTTGACCTGTACATTTTAGTTTATCAAGCCAATACATGCATTGATACTGCATATGCTTTGTGCATTTGCATGCAGAACTCTGTACAATATACTTTACATCTGGTTTGTAAAGGTTTGCATGTTATTTAAGTCTCATTTGGATAAAATGTTAGCAAAATACTGTTACTTTAATAAAAGTTCATTGTGAATTATTTTTCCTCTGCTGCAGTACCTTAGGATAGCAATAATGTTCTCGTTTTTGTAAATGCTATCGTGTAGCATGAATCTTTAATGCAATACTGGCATGTGCACAAAATTGTAAGCAGCTGAAAATTATATTGAAAATATAGTGCCACTCGTAACATTTCAGAGTTACATGTTTGTACTTTGACTTTTACTCCTTTTTAAAGGTGAATAAAATGCTGAAAGCATGCAGGCTTTGATTGTTTGTTGTAATTATGTCAATTAGTTACACAATTGGTAAATTCTACAAACAATAGTGTATGACCTGTCAGAGCAGAAATTCTTCAATGAATGAAGATTGTGAATGCACGTCCTTGCATACATTTTACAAAGAGTAACATTGCTGTCAAAATAAATACTGTAGTTATCATAGCAATTGTTTCCACAATATAGCTGTGGCTTTGCCACCACAGTCATACAAAAAAATTAAAATTACAGTAAGCGCATTTTGTGGGGAAACTATTTTGTACCATGGTAAAGGGACAGTACATAACTTAACCAACAGCGCCATCTATTGGACAATCTCTAGACAGTTGCTTGTCAGCATTTTATAATAAAATCCTTTTTTTTGTTTTTTTTTTGCTATTTTAGTGGCAATTATAAATGAATGTAAGTTGTTTCCATGTTTTCAGTATTAAGTTTTGACTTGGGTTATACATTATGTCCAGCTTTTGCTTTCAGTTTTAGAAATAAACTGATGAAATGAGTCCTTGTCCTTCATGTCATTGTGTGACTGTTTGCTGTTGGCTTTCAGTAGGGGGCGCACGAGAGCTCAGAGAGACGACCCGTATTCAAATCTCAGCAAGTCTTTTGGCTTATTGAATATATTTGTGTACAGAAATCTATTATAGTTTTCATGCAAATTATTACTATCTGATATACAAATGTAAATCTCCCTCTGTCGTCTCTATGAAAATTATCATATCAAATCTTTATACAGTAATCGCACATGCATTAGTGTGATTGTTCATCCTGACCAGCGCGGAGAAAAGAAACGATTACATTGTGACAAAGTGTTCCGTGTGCTGCTTCAGCGAACTTCATAGTTTACACTTCAGTAATGACATTTTATTAGTCCGTGAATTAGAAATAAACAGTGAAAAGGTAATATGGGTAAATTATTAGTTAGGTTTATCATTCTTGACCAAACATAGGCAACTTCTTCTAAGGTCCGCCCACTTTGTTACCGTTTGATGAAAATGTTCATTCGACCCCCATATACGATTTCTGTGGTAGAAATGGACCGACACAACATATTTGGGTGTATTCAGGCATGAGAGCATCGCAAGGGGCCACTTAACCGGGCGAGCTCTTTTTGTGAGACGTTCAACAAAACGAAGAAAACTGCACAAATAACTCGCGTTCATCTGTGCGCGCATCAAACCAAACACAATGCGCAGGGGGTATGTAGAACACTTTTTTTATGTTTTGCATACACTTGTACGTCTACGGTTATTTTTATTTTTTTTACTTTTGTCTATGTTTAATCTGTTTTAAAAGCATAATTGTCTTGCAAAAGGTCATTGAGTTTAACAACATCACAATAATCCACAAGTAATCCACATGACTCTTGCGATTGAAAGCTTGCGTTGTAATAATCATATACATTATATACATCTTGGATGGCCTGAGGGCGAGTCGATTTTCAGAAAATTGTCATTTTGGTTGAACTATTCCTTTAAATCTTTTATCTCATAAAAAAATACATGTTTTACTCCCTCAGCGTGCCCACGTGTACCTGATTGGAAAGAGAAAATCACGCTCAGCTCTGAGACGGTTTAAGAGTCAGTTGTACTACATGTGGTTCCGCCTTTATCATAGAGACAGAAACGGCGGGTAAGCCACTTACACCAGTACAACATAAAAAAATGTGTGTATTTTATTCCATATCAGCTCTAAATATTTAAAAAAATATATTGCTTTTTTCCAAAAAGCGAGGACTCCAGTGGATTTGAGCATGTGTTTGTTGGGGAAACCAAGTTTGGCAGAGAAATCTTGGGTCTTCACAACTGGGTCCAGTTTTACCTGCAAGAGAAGCAGGAGATTCTTGATTACAAGGGCTACAAAGCCAGGGACAATGATGTGGTACTTTTTTCATCAATAAATCTGAAGAAAATATATAAGAATTTATTGTTCTATGTGCAGTCTTTGCTGAATCTGTACTTGTTTTTCTTCCATGCAGCCTAATGAAGATGACCACGTCTTGAATGTGCAATTCAGCTGGCATGGTTTGGTCAAGCCAGTGGCCAGCGCCTTTGTTGGTGTGAGTCCCGAGTTTGAAATGGCCATTTTTACAATTTTGTTCCTCACATCCACTGAGAAGACCACCACAGCTGTGGTCAATCTGGATGAGTACCAGCTGGAGATGGTGGTGCATAGACACGGCCGCTCTATCGGGACCGCTTATCCCAAACTGCTGAGCAGCAACAACAGACACGTATAGATCCCACAACTCTACTACTAATATTCTGACATTTTTTTTAAAGGCATATTGTAATTTTAGATAAGTAGACATTTGTTTTGTATTGGAGAAGTCTTACTTTTAGATGCTTGTTTACTTTGCTAATATGTTGAACAAACTACAGTATGCTCATGTACAGAGTTTCACTGAAGTTTAAATCTGAGCAAATATTTCATTTCCTCAGAACTGCCTTTCATACAGTGGTAATTTCTTCTGTCTTTTATATCTATTTGCTTATTTTGACCATGACTGCTGTTATATACTTAGATGGTAATGGAAAATAGAGATTTAACATTAAAAATGATTTTTTATCCACTTGTGTGATTATTTGCAGAATTCAATTACATTTATGAGTTGCTGACATGACAAGCAGTAACAACTCATGATTATTGTATAATTGTTACAGATAAGAGATTCATGGCCTCATATTAATGAAAGACAACGGGCAATATTTGTACATTTAGAAATTAATTTGTCACACCCAGTGTTGGGGGTAACGCATTACAAGTAACGCGAGTTACGTAATCAGATTACTTTTTTCAATTCCAATTTATTGACTGACAGCTCTCCTGTCCCCATGCTGAGAGAAATCAGAAGATGTTACTGTAGATCTAAAATAAATATGAATATGCATTAATTCATCTCACTCACTCACACAAAAAAAACACACAGATTCAGTATTCCTCAAAATGAATAAAAATAATGCAACTCAGAATATGACGTGAACCTGCAATAATTAAATGTTAAACAATACAAATATCCTTTATGTATTTAATCCCATTCTATTAACCGATGTCTTTGCTTCTGACCTTCGATGATCCAGTTCAACTGTACTAATAAGCAAAAATTACTCTAGACAACATTTGTGTGTCTTTGTTTATTGCTGAAGTGTGTTGAAATGTCTTCTTCTGCATTCTACTGTACGGACGTAAATTTACTTTCCCTTCAGCCCGAGGCTTATTCATTTCACTTCTGGTGTGAAAAGGCTTTTATATTTGCCAAAAATAGAACTTTTTTATTTAAAAAACAAACAAGCAAGCCCTGTCCAGATTTTAAAAGTAACGCAAAAGTAACGTAACGCATTACTTTCCATAAAAAGTAACTAAGTAACGTATTAGTTACTTTTTATGGAGTAACGCAATATTGTAATGCATTACTTTTAAAAGTAACTTTCCCCAACACTGGTCACACCACAGGACTAATTATGCAAACAGAAATAAATTACTACATTCAAAAAGAATGTCATTACCAATTACGAAAAAGATGGTGCCTACAGGATCTCCAAATGTTCACTTCAAACGTCTGAGAACACTTGTGAAAATGCTCCTACTTTACAAGTTAATACAATAATTACGGTAATACAAAAAGTAAGAACATTTGACTTATTGTATACATGGTCAGTGTCAAAAATGTGCTTATCTAATTATGTTAGTGAGTTTAAATAACGATTTTAGTTACATTAGGGAGAAAGAAAAAAAACCGTGGACGTCGGTCGGAATACATATGATTTTCATGCTACACCTCACACTTTCACGTGTAGCGCAAACTTCTGGTCGGAGTGTGCTTCACCTGGCTCCGGCGTGTATGATGGTTTCCTAACTTATATGATATTATTCGCATTTGCGGTTTATTGCCATCATAACTAACAGACATGCTGCAGGAGGAGTTCGCTGCTCCTGTCGACACTGTGGAGGTGAGGGAGTAGTGGCACGAGTACAACTGTCATAAAATAGCAAACGTTATTATATTTGTTAGTTATAAAATCCCCATATCCTCTTCTGTATTGCAGGAAAAGTGGAAGCTGCTTCCAGCCTTTTTGAAGGTAAAATAGCCAGCGTCATCATGAGAATCATAATTAATGCAACATATGATCTGACAGTAGCATATGGATGGGCATGCTGTGCTGTTTTAAAGAATAAATACCAGTAGTTTAAAAGTATATTAAACAACATTTTCAGCTTATTGTGTAGTTATTATTCATTCAATTTTATTACGTCATATTAATCAAAGAAATACATACTTGGACTTAATTTGTCTCACCACAGAAGTATTTAAGTGAACCTCAAAAATAACTTGTTTGATTATATATAAAAGTTGATTTAAAAAAAAAGAAGAAAAATGTAAAATCTTGATGTTGAATCGCAAAGTAATTTATTTGTGTTATTTGTCAACTATCTATATACATGCTCTTTTCTTCTTGTACATACATTCTTATGATCCAGCAAGAATTATGTTGACTGATTTAAAGCAGGGCTGTCCAAACTCGGTGCTGGAGTTTAGCTCCAACTTGCCTCAACACACCTGACTGGAAGTTTCTATGGCTGTGTCCGAAATCGCCCCCTAAACCCTCATTCACTATTCCCTACAGTAGGCCACTAATTCAGTTCACTAGAAGGAGTGAATGAAAACGAGTAGTGAATTCGGACACTGAGTGCACCGGAAGGAATGCCGCTTTTGCATAGTTTGTGCTTGCTGTTTATTAATCATTTGAAACTAGCAAACTAGCAGCTCCAGTAGTAAGATTAAAGGATTTATCTTGAACTCTGTCACGGAAATTATGTATAAACCCTAATCAAACAATTTAATAATCAATTTACAATGAGTTTATACCCGTGTTGTACAGTATGCTGTACGCCATGGCTGAGCAGGGATTTATTATTAAGCCGCGGGCGCCATCTTCTGGCGAGATGCGGGAATTCATTCGGCGCGTGACTCTCACGGTGCATTATGGGCATTCTCTAGCCGTTGAGTGAGTTTAACGTGTTGATCTTTAGTACCTTTGTTGTTTCCTCTTATTTTTAAGTTCTTTTTTTTTGCATTATTTTTGCACTCTCCTTTACTGTAAGTCCCAGGAGGTTAACTTGTATGAACTTAAATTAAATTATTGCATCATTTATGTTCATTTAAGTGGCATGAAATGTACTGTACACAGTATATACATACAAAAAAAAGATAAATAAATTCAAGCAATTGTAAAGTGTTACTTATATGTTTGTATGTTGCAGGTATTATTTTGGATGGACCCTTGTGCTCTTGGCTCTGTTTACTTTTAGTGATGCATCTAGGTAAATTATTTTCTAATTGTGCCTATTATATGAATGCCATTTACTACACCTGAGAACGTTTTGTACAAAATGTACGCACATTTTATACAACTCACTTTTTTTCCCTACACTCTCAGTCAAACTGTCAACCAGGAGCTTTCAGATATTTTCAATGAGCTCTGGAAGCTGGATGTGAATCGCCTGAGCCCTGGGACTCATTACAATATCTCACTACAGGTCTCAGTATTTTAATGTCAAACAATATTAAGTCTAGTGACAGATCAAGTGTAACATTAAATTGTCTCACATTTCTTTTAGGGCAAAGCTGGTTACATACCACAGGGAAGCACCAGTGCGGTAGACCACGCCTCATCCTCACTGTTTACCAGTGTTGATGAGGCCAAACTGAACTCCATTACCACTTATGGACGTATGTTTCTTTTGCAAAAACCTCTAACCCCTTTAATTATTCTGTCAGTTTGCACAAAAGCTTATTTATCCACGGAGCTGTGCTGAAACATGCCTTTAACAGGGACACACCAAGATCCTTTCAAAAATGTAATTGTTGGAATTACAATTGGAAAATTGATTGGTGGAATTCTGAATGCTGTTCTATGTTGCATTCAGTCTCTCCTTTTGATTTATGAGAGAAACCACATGGTTGCTTGATGCAACATGTTACCAGAAATATTTGAATCTGAAATGCTAATCTGAAACCTTGCAAAAGGTCATTGAGTTTAACTTGTTGATCTTTAGTACCTTTGTTGTTTCCTCTTATTTTTAAGTTCATTTTTTTTTTGCATTATTTTTGCACTCTCCTTTACTGTAAGTCCCAGGAGGTTAACTTGTATGAACTTAAATTAAATTATTGCATCATTTATGTTCATTTAAGTGGCATGAAATGTACTGTACACAGTATATACATACAAAAAAAGATAAATAAATTCAAGCAATTGTAAAGTGTTACTTATATGTTTGTATGTTGCAGGTATTATTTTGGATGGACCCTTGTGCTCTTGGCTCTGTTTACTTTTAGTGATGCATCTAGGTAAATTATTTTCTAATTGTGCCTATTATATGAATGCCATTTACTACACCTGAGAACGTTTTGTACAAAATCCCTAATCAAACAATTTAATAATCAATTTACAATGAGTTTATACCCGTGTTGTACAGTATGCTGTACGCCATGGCTGAGCAGGGATTTATTATTAAGCCGCGGGCGCCATCTTCTGGCGAGATGCGGGAATTCATTCGGCGTGTTTGTATGTTGCAGGTATTATTTTGGATGGACCCTTGTGCTCTTGGCTCTGTTTACTTTTAGTGATGCATCTAGGTAAATTATTTTCTAATTGTGCCTATTATATGAATGCCATTTACTACACCTGAGAACGTTTTGTACAAAATGTACGCACATTTTATACAACTCACTTTTTTTCCCTACACTCTCAGTCAAACTGTCAACCAGGAGCTTTCAGATATTTTCAATGAGCTCTGGAAGCTGGATGTGAATCGCCTGAGCCCTGGGACTCATTACAATATCTCACTACAGGTCTCAGTATTTTAATGTCAAACAATATTAAGTCTAGTGACAGATCAAGTGTAACATTAAATTGTCTCACATTTCTTTTAGGGCAAAGCTGGTTACATACCACAGGGAAGCACCAGTGCGGTAGACCACGCCTCATCCTCACTGTTTACCAGTGTTGATGAGGCCAAACTGAACTCCATTACCACTTATGGACGTATGTTTCTTTTGCAAAAACCTCTAACCCCTTTAATTATTCTGTCAGTTTGCACAAAAGCTTATTTATCCACGGAGCTGTGCTGAAACATGCCTTTAACAGGGACACACCAAGATCCTTTCAAAAATGTAATTGTTGGAATTACAATTGGAAAATTGATTGGTGGAATTCTGAATGCTGTTCTATGTTGCATTCAGTCTCTCCTTTTGATTTATGAGAGAAACCACATGGTTGCTTGATGCAACATGTTACCAGAAATATTTGAATCTGAAATGCTAATCTGAAACCCTCATGCATGTAAACTTAAATCACATCACATATTTTGGATACACAGTATTAATCATGAAATAGATATAAAATAGAAGGTAAGTAAAGGTAAATCAGGAGCATTAAAAATCAGATCAGCATTAAAATATTTTACATAGAGGAGCATAAGTTTTCAGTCTTACTACTTTGTTTTTAAGTATTTTAAACTTTACAAATTCGCACAAAATCTAGAAGAAATGAAGTAAAGGAAGGTTTACATTTGTTTCATTTGCATGTGTGAATAGGATATTTACCCACCCAAACGACCAGACATGAAATTGTTTTCACCAACAAAAAACATTCTCTAGCCGTTGAGCGTGCACCAGTTGTACACTCGTTTTTGCAGTGTATTGTGGGATTGAATGAGTGCACTCGAGAACGTCCGCTATGGTTTCGGACACCACTAAAAATGGCTGTTCCCTCACATAGTGCCCTATTTAAGGGTATGGGGGCGATTTCGGACACAGCCTGTGCCTAGTAAGAGCTTGATTAGCTGGTTCAGGTGTGTTTAATTGGGGTTGGAGCTAAACTCTGCAGGACACCGGCCCTCCAGGACCGAGTGTATACAGCCCTGATTTAAAGCCTCAAATTTCTTGTTCATGTCATTTTTTTACTATTATTATTATTATTATTATTTTTAGGTTAAAGGCTTAGTTAAGCAGCACATTGATTCCTTCAATTACTTCATCAATGTAGAGGTTTGTTGACTTGTTTAAAGATGGCACAGAGTTCTCTACATATACTGTAAATGCAATACATTTATTGTCAGTTGTGTTTTCCATGACATCACATTATGGATTTAATTTCTTTTTGTACCAGCAAAACAATTTGATATTGACAAAAAGCTTTAGTAGCATAAACCTAATGTCTACTAATCTCTCCAGATAAAAAAGATAATGAAGGCGAACGAGAAGATCACAAGTGATGCTGACCCAATGTGGTATCTGAAGTAAGGATATTCAGTTGACAAAGCAACATTTCTCTTTTTTAAATCTTAATTTATGTTTCATTTTATATCAGCTTCATTTCAATTACCAAAAATGATTTTTAATCATTTGAGTTATCCAACACTGCATGTTACACCTCATCTGTCCCTAGATATCTCAATATCTACGTTGGCATGCCTGATGTAGAAGAAAGCTTTTATGTAACCAGACCAGTGTCACCACATGAGGTAACATCTGTATTTGTGGCCTAAAGAATATTCTCATTTAAAGCAAACTTAAAAGCTTTTTGAAGAAAAAAAAAGGATCAAGATGAAGTATTTGCTCATGATGATTATGCTTTTTAACCACTAGTGTCGTCTGAGAGATATGACGTATTCAGCTCCCATCACTGTGGATATAGAGTATACCCAAGGCAGCCAGAGGATCTTTCGCAATGCTCTCCCTATTGGAAGTTACCTATGTGTGGGCTAAAAGCTTTGCAGACACCTCTTAATATGCATTTTGTTTTCCCTAGAAATTTTAAATGCAATTTTAAATCTTTTTGTTTTTGTGTGTTTTTTTTATTTATAATAGGATGCCAATAATGCTGCGAAGCTCCAACTGTGTATTGACAGGAAAGACGCCGATGGAGTTCTCCAAGCTTAATGAATGTCCCCTGGATCCAGGTAGATTATCATAGCATTCAGACTGTCTCAGTGATGTTTGGTTGTTTGTATGCCATAGTTTGATGCAGATAATCCCATCTGAAGCTCATACGTGTGGGAGCAGGTCATGGTGCATATATATGATACAGGATTTGTATGTGTGCAAGTGGTTATTTCATTGTAAAAGGGCAAGAAAAAGTCATTCTCATTCAGGAGCAGTTATCCAAGAACCCGTCATCGTGGAGCAAGATCGCAAAGGCTCAGTGGGAGCCTAGGTCACCAGGTGCTGGAATTTGCTTTTCTGTTTATGTAATAATATTAAACTTCATTTGAAGTACACCTTTAAAACTAGTTGTGTGCTCATATATCTGTCTTTTGTCTCTGATTTGTAGTTCTACTCATGAGAAAAAGAGCAGAACCAACATGATTGTGAAACAGGGCCGCTTCCTAAAGCACAACACCCTCTCTGAGGATGCACCTATTGCTATCATCTTTAAGGTGAGAATGTGGTTAAAGATGGTGATTTAAGGCATGATGAAGTTGACAAAGAAAGCCATATAATACTTGCACTTCTCATGGTTTAGGTCATTGGTTCTCAATTCCAGTCCTCGCATACCACCGCTCTGCATATTTTGCATGTCTCTCTTACTTAACACACCTGATTCGGATAACCAGTTCGTGAGAAGAGAGCTTCCTGCATGAACTGTGTTCTGATTGACATGGTCCCTACACGGTGTTCTTTGCTTCTTACTCCCTGAGAACAGGAAGTCCATTTACTTCAACATTCAGTCATGGATTTGCGCTACGCCACAGCCTGCAGCGTCTTCACACACAGATGAAACTTACTAAAGAAGTGTAAAATAATATACAATTTAAATTCATTTCTCGCACGCTTTAATGCCCTTTGAATGGAACTTGAAATGTAATCATCAATATCCTGTGATGTCTACTTCGCAGGGCACTTACAGTCGAATAGAACAATTGCTGAAGTGATAACAGATACAAACAAAATGTGCAGAGCGGTAGTACACAAGGACTGCAATTGAGAACCACTGGTTTAGGTTATTACACAGTTTCATTATTTAGGCCACATGCTGTTTCCAACCAGCAGATAGCGCACATTAACAAAGAATACAGTGCAGCTTGGCTGAAAACCAATTACACGCATTTAAAAGTATTGCTAAATTGTATTATATCAGTACCGTTCAAAGATTCGGTGTACTGAAAAAAAAAAAGAAATGAATACTTTTTTCAGCAAGGGTGCATTAAATTGACCTAAACTAACAGTAAAGACACTTAAAATGTTTCAAAAGATTTCCATTTCAAATAAATGCTGCTCTTTTGAACTTTTGAATCACGTATCACGTTTTCAGCAAAAATATATATATATTTTTTTTTTTATATTTGCAACATTGATAGTAATAAGAAACGTTTCTTGAGCAGCAAATCAGCATATTAGAATGTTTTCTGAAGGATCATGTGACACTGAAGACTGAAGTAATTGCTGCTGAAAATTCAGCTTTGCATCACAGGAATAAGTTTTTTAAAAATATATTTGTAATATAAACTGTAATGATATTTCACTATTAATGTGTTTACTAATTTTGATAAATAAATGCAGCCTCGGTGAGCATAAGACCTTAAAATTTCTTACAAACCCCAAACTTAAAATGGTACTGTCTCTTTAGTTAATGAAATGGCTTCATATAGCTTTAGCTGTGACTGCATTCATAATGTAGGATGGAATTTGAACCGCTTTATTAACCGATCAGCATCTGTTTAAAAATGTCTATTTAATATGTCAGAGAGAACTCGCTGGTGATGTTATTCTCTAATATTTTACCATTACTTGCTGTTAGGATATTCTAAGCATCTATTGAAATGTGTCATATGATACATTTGTCATATAAAATTACCAAATCTTTTTTACAAGCTCTTTCCTAAAGCATTTGATAGCATTTAAATGGTTTTAGTATTTATGCTTCCTTTCTATGCATTTTTAATTGTTTCTTCTGTTCATTGACACTGTGTTGAATATAACCTGACAGTTGAAATGGATATTTAGTTAGAGCTCATATCAGGGGACCGGCTTGTACTATGACGGATGTTTTTCCTAAATCCCTCACCCCAGGCTCTCTCTAAACATATGGGTCAGATTGGTTAGGGACAGGGCGAGGAGTAAATCGGCTGTCGGGCTTTGCACTTGTCCATCCACAGCACATTCCACCGGGATTTCCTTGCAACACAGCAGCCGTGCCAAACGGTGGAGGCCTTTAAGCCCTGTGATCCATCCAGTCCTGTTCCCACAGTCCCTTATTAGCATAAATAAATGTCATCGAGGCCTGTGGCACCATATTCACCTTTGCATTAGAGCAGGGTCCTACATTATTTTTTTGTGTGTGTGTGTTGAATACAATTGCAGTCTCTTTGCTGTAAATATACAACTGTATACATTGTGTTTCTTATTTTACTTGATATACTTGATTTTACTGGATTATTTCACTTTTAATCTCTCTGTCATTCATCAGGCCATGGGAGTGGAGAGTGATCAGGAGGTAGTTCAGATGATTGGCACGGAGGAACATGTCATGGCTGCATTTGCTCCCAGTTTGGAGGAGTGTCAGAAGGCCCAAATATTCACCCAAACTCCGGTACCTCTGACAAAATCTCTGCTATAATTTATAAGAGTGGTTTGCATTGCCTGTAAATGGGTAGCACATACAAAACAACAATGTTAAGCTAAATGTTACTAGAAGTATTACCAAATACCTTTGATTAAAGATCAGACCACTGAATGATGTTTAAAACCTTTAAGCTTTCAAAAACCAAGTATCCACTTTTGAGGTGTATTATCAAATGCTGAGGCACAGTTTGCCGAATCTTAGATGTATTATTCACTGCAAGACCCAACAATGGGTCAGCAAGGACCATATCTGCGTCCTAGCAACCTGTGTCTGAGTGGATGTGAATGCCTGTTTACATGGTTGTGACATTGTGTGGGCCTCATCAAAGGTCTGCTAATGAGCTTGCATGTGTGCACCAATTGATTTGAGCAGACCTCAGTTAGATAAGATGTGTTATTAGAACTGAGAATCGGTCAAGAGTTTTAAGCTATATT